CTGTTAGACGTTGTGCTTTTGCAGGGTTTTTCTTTTCTTTTTGTTTTGTTTGCCTGGCGGGGGTCTGCCTTGTGTGGCTAAAGGTTCACTTGTATTTTTGGTGGACCTCCTCTAGGCCCCTGTGACATGTCGCAGGGGTTAAGCTTTTAGTTTGTTTGCTTGGTAGCTCTGGGATAACCGGTTAGCAGTACCTTGCCTGGGCTTTCCTTACCAGTCAGCCTAAGGGCCCTGGAATCCCCCATTGGGGCTCAATGGGCCAATGGAGGAATCCTCTTTGAGTCCCACCTCACTTCGTGTGAGTTTGAGGGTTACTCTGTCCCCTTGTCTCAGGTGACATTTACCGTTTTTGACTCCGCCATGCTGCTTGTTGGGTCATTGACACCTTTGATGCAGAGTCTTGTGATTGTTGTTCATTGCATGTACTCCAGTTCACCCAGTCCACTGTTACTGATATTCGGGTGCAGGCAGCTTCGATGTTGCAAGTGAGGTTTAGGTTGCTGCAACAAGCTTGGCTGGTTGCCATTCCGGATGCCCTACGGTTGCCCCGTTTGGGTTATAGGGATCTGGACTTGGGGGGTGTTAGTCGCATCGCTTTGGTTTCATCCGCTTTCCTTTGTCCTTTCCCTGCTGTAGTTCATTGAGCCCCCCCTTCTTTCCCCCTCTTGCTCCAAGCTCCCTAACGTCTGAGGGTTTCGGAGTCAGGGCAGGGTTTTCTTGGTGGTGAGACTCGGGTGGCCTCGGGGACTGTCCCTACCGGATCGGCATCAGAGGCATTCGAGCCTGTTCCTCCTGCCGGAGCTGTCGGGTCGTGCCAGTGGACCTCGTTCATCCTTGCTTTTCCAGTGGACTCTGCCTTTTCTCGAGAGACAGGGGGTTTGAGGACAGCTCAGACCCAGGTCCTGATGTGGAGGATCCCAGAGCTGGGGAGGGCTTTGACCACCCAAGTGGGGTGGGTGGTCAAAGCCCCACCCAAACACCAAGCGGGTAAATGGTGTTGGAAAACTCGACACCTTTTACTAATATTCAATACAATAGGCCGATAATATTGCTGCTTGGCTGTATAAATAAATTCTCTTATAGAAGACAGTAGTGGAATTGTCCATCAATAGAAAACGGGTAATATCATTGCCATGTCGCTATTAATTTCACCAGCTAATTCTGTTGGGAATTATTCTTAATACAGCAGTCTTTGGACTGTTAACATCATAAAAACATCTCACTTGAATTAACTTAATTATTAGTACCAAAATAGAGTAAATGTGACCTTTCTACCACTTCTTGACATCTGGACAAGAGAGCCAGGGCATCAGTGGAGGAGGGCGAGAGTCAGCCATTGTTAATTTATCAACAAAGTTGCTGGAGCAGAACAGCTCCTATATACTCCCTTGGACAAAGTGTATGAAGAGTAAGTTAATCATCATCTGAACAAGGAAAGTGTCCAATTCCGAAATCTTATTTAGTCATTCCTGGCCAGTAATGTTAGGTAGATAAGATAATTCCGGTTAGGACACGAGGCAACGACCAACCTATGGTGAGCATTATTCTCATTTCTTTATTTAAATATACCTATGTTTCCTCTGATATAGCTGTCATATATATTAGGATTCCTGCTATTATTGCAAGTGCCCTTTGATAGGAACAATTGAAGAGGAAGCAGAACAGTTATTTGGTACACCAGTACGTGGTGTTGATGCCAGCCTCAAACATGAGGATTATTTGGTGTGATCATCCTTGTTCATAACTGGTGGAACAGGCCTACCTACAAAAAGATAAGGCCTCCCTATTTAATTTAAGTAATATATGTAGTTTAATACTGTAGTGAATGTCTGCTAACAAATAATTTATATGGTTGACTACAGTTATATAAATCATAAACCCCTCATGTGTAAGGAAAGTGATTTGTGAGACATTTTAGAAGTACAGTCCACTCCATCATACAATTTGCTATCGAAAAATATAAATTAACAAAATATAAATTCTATATAAATTAATATAAATTAAATAAATATAAATCTCATAGGTCAATTCCCCACAGTGTTGGTACCCTCAGCGAGGGGTTTGTTGTTACAGGGGGAGGGGTTTTCATATCTCCCCTCTCTGTTCGAGTTTAATGTGAGTTGGGCTTCTCTCCGGATTCGGTTCCGGGTTCCCTTGGGTTCTTCGGTTCCCTCCTTCTGGAGGTACAGTGGAACCTCTATTAACGAGTGGCTCTATTAACGAGTTTTTCCAGTAACGAGCAAGCCACTCGCAGCAAATTTGTCTCTATTGACGAGCTCGCCTCTATTAACGAGTGAAACCACATGGCGCTTCCTAGCATCTCGCGGATTCTCGCAAATTCTCGGATGCCTCCGACGCCAGTGTTGTTGTTGTATCTCACACGACAAGCATCCCTCTGGATTTATTTGAGCTTTTCTTTGGGTTTTTAGTGGTTTTGCGACTACAATTTGTAACACACGATGTCTCCAAAGAAGCTGCTTGCTAAAGATAGTGTTGTCAAGAGGAAGAAAGACACAATTACTGTGGATTTAAAGAAGGAAATTAAGCAAAGCATGAGTGTGGTGTCTGTGTGATTGATCTCACAAGGAAGTATGGCAGGTCCTCATCAACAATTTACACCATTAGTAAGGGAATGAGGAGGTAAGGGACGATGCTGCCTCTTCCACTGAAATCAGGGAAGTGTTTGGAATGTTTGAAAAGGTGAACGCATTCTTGGAAAAGCTGCCCTGATAAAGCAGTGACAACCCGGTGTGTGAAAATGTTTAATTAATTTATCACTTTGTGATAACACTTTATGAAAGTGTTATCACTTTCGCAGGTATATGTCGCTTGAACGTAACACACTTTTTTTTCTTGAATGCACCCAAACACCGCGCTCAAGCGTCATTTGAGCAAATATTTCTATAAAATTCAAATCTTATCCGATCGACTTGGGGATTGTATACATGTTTGCCATGAAATTTCCGTTTTCTTTAATAACCACATTGCCTATTTGAGAAAACGGCATTGTATTGTATCTTTGTGGTAAGACTATTATATTGTTGACACAACGAGTGTAATCAACGTAGTTTTTTATTTGGTGCTGGTCTAACGCATCCTTGTGTGACATTTGAAATGAAATTTGGGTGAAATTCCCAAGAAGAGAGAGTCCGCCTGACTCAGAGGTGGATTCTCCTTCCACACCATAACCCCTCTCATCCTTCCCACCTCCCCATCGCCTCCCTCAAGCCAGCAACTACTCTTCATAAGGGAAAGTAAATATTAAAACACTACAACAAAACATTTATATTTACATGTGCAATATTATATTTACATATAAAAAGTCATACAAGTATGGATGTTTTTGGGAGTGGAACGGATTAAATTTATTTCCTTTATTTTAAATGGGGAAATTTGTTTCCAAAGACGAGTTTTCCAGGTAACGAGCTCGATGCCAGAACGGATTAAACTCGTTAATAGAGGTTCCACTGTATTTGGCTTCCTGCATTCAGCCTAGGGAGGCACGGGAGGCCCTTGCGACTTACCTCCTGTGAGACCCGGATTACACCTTGATAATGGATCCTCCTCCTCTTGATTTTGGCTCCTCTTTTCCTTCCTGGGTGCGTTATGAGGTGCCGGAGTCATCCTGGCTGGCAGACTGCCCTTTCTTTTTATTTGGGGGTGTGGCATGCGTTCTTTCGGACCCGTACGCTTGTCTGGTGGAAGTTGATTACGGTCGTTCAGGTTTATCTGGGGTGCGAGTTTGAACAACTCAATGCGTGCTTGTTCGGCCCTCTGCTTCCTCGCGATATCAGCCAGGTGCAGCTTCACGTGCAGGTCCCTTCTCTTTCGGTGTCCGTAGTTACTGAGGATTTGTGAGCCCGTGGGCATTTGGCTTCGGTCTTGTGCTTTTTTCCCTGCTGGAGCAGTCTTCGGACTGGCTCGAGGAGGATGTAGAAGAGCTGGCTTCCGGACCTGTGTTTGGTGCACCTGCCTTGGCGGCTCGGGCATCGGCCGCCTTGTTGAAGTTGTTTGCGGCGATTCTGAAGGAAGTGGTGTCACTGTTCTTTACTTATTGTCTTGCATGCTGCCAGGTGGTGCTCATCCACTCTTTGGAATCTGCATCCCTCCAGTGGGTTTCCCGCCTGTTTCCTGTTCCGATAATTTTGGCTGCTTTTTGAGGCGCTTGGATGGTGTCCCTGGACATCCGGGAGGCATACTGATACATCCCAGTTCATCCGGGGTTCAGGGACTGGCTCGGTTTTGTAGTGGGGCTACAGGCTTACCGCTTTCATAACCTTTCATTCGGCTTGAATCTGGCACCTCTCTTGTTCACACGCTTTACCCGGGGTCATGGAGACCCATTTGCGTCTGTTAGGGACTCGGGTTCTGGCTTACCTCGACGACTGGCTGGTCTGGGCCTCCAGCCGATCCGCATGTCTGTTCATCAGGGATTAGGTTCTTTCTCATCTCGCTGGGTTTGGGTTCTTGGTGAACTGGAGGAAGTCCCATTTGGTTCCCTCTCAGGTTCAGACTTGGCTGGGTCTTGTGTGGAACTCTTGGGCTGCTTCCTTGTCTATCCCTCTCACACAATTAACAAGTGTGTACCTAGTTGACAGGGTTGCCAAAGTTTTCCATGCAGTTTATTATTTCGAGGTATTCAACTTTTATGGTTAACTTTCCTTCTTTGCCTGGGTTGATGGAATGATTGTTTACAGCAGCAAACTACTTTATGCTTTTCTTAAGTTTCTATTTCTAATCAAGATTTGTGGTTTATTGTGCTTCGGTTATATTTTCTGATCCCCATTATCCCCTCACCTTTGTGAGTGCAACAGATCCTGGTGTTTAGTTGGTCTGTGAGAGTCCAGAGGCCTGGTACCATTGTGAGTGTCTACGGTACCAGAGCCCAATACCGTGAAGCTACTGAGGCAGCCAAATAATGATCATTTTATATCAATCAATGCTTAATTTTGTCTTGTCCCCAAACTAATTCATTATTTTTAATTGTGATTTTTTCTTTTCAGGAATTTCTCATGCCCCTTTACTTCATTCTTATATTGGCAATTATACGCATGGCAATTAAAGATAAACATTATGGTCCCATCCTAGAACCCCATGGCAATGCATCACTTATGAGTAGTCTCTCAGCATTTGAAGGAAAGATTCTCCACGTGGCTCCAAATACTACAGCAGTATGTACTCTTTAATTTTTGTCTATAATTGCTAAAAATTGTAATTATCTTATTGCTAAAAGTGTAATTACTTAAGTGCTCTCATCCCTTACCAGGATGAGAGCTATGCTCATGTTGTGCCGTCTTCCTGGTACTCTTTCATATGATGCTTTGAAACTAATGACAGTGTTAGCATCCACTGCCTTCTCACTAAACTTGTTCCAACATTCTACCACTTGGTTTGCAAAAGGAAATCTTGTTAGATTTTTGGCACCTTTATTTCCTTAGCTACTGTAACTATGGCTTCTTGCTCTTGAAATTACAGATTTCAAGAATTTTTTAGTCGAGTTCATTTATTATGCACCCCCATACCCATTTTGTGGGCAGTAGAAGAAAGGGTTATAGAGACACATAATGGGCTCAAGGACTGAACTCCATAATTCATTTAGCTATGCAAGTTACAATCTTGATGAGCTAGTTATAAAATTCAATACACATCGTCACATCAACAATGGGCTAAAGACCGACCACAAGTACAGTTTTTAACCACCGCACTGCTCTGCATTAAAATATGACAAACCCCTGGTGTGCAGAAAATAAATTCTTAACAGAAAATTATTTTCTCTTCTAATATTGTTAAAATACAGTCTCTGATCATGGGAAACTAAAAAAAAAATATTGTATGTGACATACAGTGGTACCTCGGAATATGAGTGTCCCTGTATACGAGTTTTTCAGAATACGAGCAGGATTTGCTCGGAAAATTTGCCTTGGAAGGCAAGGGTGTTGATACGCATACAGGCCAACCTAGTGCGTGGTGGCATGGTGATCGCCCCTCAGTTTACCAGTGCCTCGCACCCAGTGACTATCCTGCCTGAATTCTTCACCAGGATTTTCAGTGTTTTGTTGGTTTTCTGGGGGGAGCCCCTACGGCTCCCCGGAGCCATCTATGGCTGATATGGATTCCCTAACTATTTTGCATCAGTCGATGTGGGTGGAGTTCTAGGCCTACCGGGGACCACGAGCCAGAACCTAGCTCTCTCAGAGAAGCACGGGGAGCAATGGCCCATAGAATTGCACATCTGATTTGGAGCATTCTATATCTGCCATCAACCGGGACAGGCACCCAGAAAGGTAAGCGCCACAAAACAAACCCCTATTCTGGTTAACAACAAAAATCGACAAACGAGTGGACAGAACTCCCCCAAGAAAAACGAACTAACAAGCATGACATCACACGAGCCGTGCCACATGTCTGCGCAGCTCCCCCCTCCCCGGGAGGGGGAAGGGGAAGCCCCAAACCCTCACGCCGGCGATTCCCGCCCTAGTTCCTCAGCTGATGGGATAGTGCATGGTCATGTGGCTCCAGCTCCGGTCTTGTCTCAGTGCTGTGACTTGTTAGCAGTGCTGCTCTTACGGTGGTCGTGTGAGCTGGGAGTAGTATTCTCAGGTATTCGGGCTGCATGTGCTTAGGGTCACCTTCCCTGAGTGTCCTGTAAGTACTGCCCTTGGGGCATGGGGTTGCCTTCCACAAGTCACCTTGGGTCTACCTCTGTTGGCTTTTTGCTGATTGGCGTTTGGCCGCCCCGAGGGTTTGGGGGTTTCACTCCCTTGTTTCCCTTGGGGTAAGTGGTAGTTATAGCACTGGTGGGGCGCAGAGTACTGCGTAGCTAGTTTTCACCTATAACAGCGGCCGGCTCTGTTCCCTCTGGGGTACGTTGTCCACTTGTGTGGTTTTTCTTTAATATTTGTTTTTGCCTGGTAGGGGGGTCTGCCTTGTGTTTCCCTCCCCCCCCCTTATATTAGGGTCGTTTGTGTGGTGGCACCCCCTGCTTCGCCCTCACGGGTGGACACGTCCCATGGGTTCAGCTTTAGCAGTTTGTTTGGTAGTTTGGGGTGCCGGTTAGCAGTGCCCCTCCTGGGATAACCCTTAGCAGACCCAGTCTAGGGGCCCTGGGAAACCCCACGGGGGCTCTCGGGTCCGATAGTGGAGACCCTTGCGTCCCCTCTCGCTTTGTGCGAATTGAGGGTTGCTCTGTCCCTTTGTCTTAGGGTGACTCTCCTTGTTTTTGCCTCCGTCATGCTGCCTGTTGGGTCGGTGACACATTCGACCCTGAGTCCTGCGAGCTTTGTTGCTTGTTTGTGACTCCATTCACCCAGTCTCCTGTTGAATTCCCGTGGGTGCAGGCAGCGTGCGCGTTGCAGGGTAGGTTGTTGCAACGCACTCGGGTTTGTCACTTCCCCGGATGCCCCAAGGATGCCCCGCTTTGTGTAGGGACCCAGACTTGGGGGTTTTGGTCGCTTCGGCCTTGGTTCCTTCCACGCCCCCTTGTTTTTCCCCTTCGGTGGTACATTTTGTACCCCCCCCCATCCTGCTTCCTGCCCCTACGTGTCTGCAGGCTTCGGGGTTAGAAGTTCTGAGACTTGGGCAGTTTCGGGGGTTGCCCCGTCCAGGGTTGCTGCGGAGGCATTCGAGTCTGTTCCTCTGGCCGATGCTCCGGGGTTCGACCAGTGGGCCCCTTCTCTTCCAGCTCTCTCAGCTGCCCCGGCTTTTTCTTGTGAGGTCGGGGCTTTGGAGGTCGACTCGGCCCCGGGGCCTGGTGTAGAGGCTCCTGGGGTTGGGGAGGAGCAGCCTTGGGGGCCTTGGGCTCCATTGTGCCCCGCCTGGATTTCCGTCCTTTTGAACTGGGTTTACTGTTGCAAGGAGTGGGGTTTTCTTTTCCCCCCTCTGCATACGATTTGGGCTTGGGTTCTGCTCCTCCCCGGGTTTGGTTCCGTGTCCCTGTGGTTTCTTCGGTTCCGTCTTCCGGAGGTTTTCGGCTAACCGCATCTCTTCGCCTGTGGTGCGGTTGGCCTTTGCGGCTTACCTCCTGCGTGTCCCAGAGTTTGCCTCCATACTGGTTCCTTCTGTTCTGGTCTGGGATGCCGGATTGGGCTACTTGTCGCCGGTTGGGCTCCTTGTAGCCGTTTGGGCTCCTTGTAGCCGTTTGGGCTCCTTGTAGCCGTTTGGGCTCCTTGTAGCCGTTTGGGCTCCTTGTAGCCGTTTGGGCTCCTTGTAGCCGGTTGGGCTCCTTGTCGCCGGTTGGGCTCCTTGTCGCCGGTTGGGCTCCTTGTCGCCGGTTGGGCTCCTTGTCGCCGGTTGGGCTCCTTGTCGCCGGTTGGGCTGCTTCTCGCCTTGTTGGGCTACTTCTCGCCTTGTTGGGCTACTTCTCGCCTTGTTGGGCTACTTCTCGCCTTGTTGGGCTACTTCTCGGCGGTTGGGCTACTTCTCGGCAGTTGGGCTACTTCTCGCCTTGTTGGGCTACTTTTCTTCGTGTCCTGCGCATGCGCCGTGGGAGTTTGTTTTGGTTCCGAGCGGTGTGCACACGTGTTGGTGTTCTGCGTCCATTTTCTCTCGGGGGGAGGCTTCACCTCTCGTTCTTTTCTTTCTCCAGTCCGTGCCCCGTTGTTTTGGGGGTGTTCTGGAGTGCCGCTGTGGGAAAGTCAGGAGGTTTTTTCCTGCATTTTAGGGTGGGGGCGCCTCCTTCGCCGCTCCCCTCCTCCTCTCCAGCATGGGCGCCCTAGCCGCCTCCGGCGGCTACGTTCTCATAGGCTTGCGTCATGGCCCTTCAGCGCTTATGTTCTGCAGGTGAGTTGGTGCGGTCTGGCATCTCCTTCGTCCTGACGCTGTTTTTGTTTTTGGAAGTAGGAATGGGTGTACATACGTCCTTGAGAACGTGGATCGTAACAACTGAGGTGCCTACTGCAGGGCTATTGGCCCATGCAGGGCAGCTCTTGTTCTCATCACCTGATTCCTTCCTCGGTTCACAGGTGACTGTGGGTGGCCTCTTGGCCCTTCCGAGGCGGCTCCTGCCTGTACTCATCCTGCCCCTCTCCTATGCTTGTCTAACCTTGCTTGAGTTCGGGGCCCCGCCTCCACCTTGTTCCATGGTGCTACGGTGGGGGTGCCTGTTCGGTGGTACGTTTTCCTGTGTCGAGGGTGTTTTGTGCTCGCCTCCTTGTGCTTGCAGGATAGGGTTCTGGCTCTTTGGTTCCGCCTCTCCCCTGTCGTTCGTCTGACGTGCGGATTCTGTGCTTCATGGGCGCTCTCGTTTCTGCTCTTGGGGCTGTGTATGGGGTCAGCCCAAGTTGGGCTGCCTAATGTGTTCCTTCGATTGCCTGTTCCACTGCACATGTTTCTTTTACCGTCCCTGTGGCTCAGTTGGGTACTCGGTTTCCGTCTGTGTCCCCTTGTGAGCCACTCGTGTTATGGTTTATCTTTATTTTCTCTGTCGCTTCCTCAGGGAGTGTGGTGACGTTTTGCTGCGGTTTTGGTACTGCGGCTGCGTGTAGGGGTTTGGATGTGGCATTTTGTTCGGCCCTTCCGTGCTCCCGCTGGGGCCCTCCTTCCTTGCCGGTCTTGCTGTGCCGGGCCTGGTTTTTTCCATGTTCCTTGGTTTCTCTGTCCTGTCCTCGTTGTGCTGGCTGGGGATGAGCTTGGGGTCTTCATCTCGCCCCTCGCCTATCATTCGGTTTCAGTTCAGGTTCCAGAGCCCAGTGGGCTCCCTTCCTTAGTGTTTTTCACGGCTGCCCCGGGGTTTTTCTTGATGCTGGAGCTTTGGGAGGATAGCTCAGCCCTGGGGCCTGCAGGGTGGGTTCCCGGGGCTGGGGTGGGGCTGAAGTGAGGGGCCTCAGGCCCCGTTGGTCCCTGCTGGGGTTTTTTCTGCCCCTCTGGGCGGGGCTTGCGGTTTTGTGGAGTGGGGTTTTTCCGTTCCCCCTCACCACATGAGCTTTTTGGGCGTCGGCCCCTCCCTGGGCTCGGTTTCCTTGTCCATTATGCCCGTTGCTTCCGTCCTGTCGGTGGGTGCTTTTCTACGGTCTTCGCCCCTTTTTTCCAGGACGGGCCTTCTCCGTCATGTCCCCCTTTTCTTGGGGTTCTGCATGACTTTTGATCTCGGGTGCGACAGGGTTTTTGTGCCTTTGTCCTTTGTGTTTGCTTCTTTTTATTCTCGAAGGTTTGGGACGGTTTTGCTCCTTCCCGT